GAGGATGTGGTGAAGGTTAATTGGTATAATTTTGTTTGGCATAAACATAGCTCCCTTCGGTTTGCTGTTTTCTCCTGGATTGCTTTTAGGGATGGCCTCAAAACTGCCTCAGTTCTCGCCGCTAGGGGCATTCCGGTTTGCCACCTCTGCGTTTTTTGCAAAATTAATGTTGAGACCCAGAACCATTTGTTCTTTGAATGTGATTTCTCGTTTAATATTCTGCTGAGGTTCTTTCCCAGAATGCAATCCATGCTGTTTAGGCCTAATCTATGGCAAACCTATAATGATATTGAGGTTGAGGAAACTGTTAGCAACAGAAAGAACTTCTCCTTTTTAACTCTGTCTGCTATTGTTTACTTCATATGGAGATCCAGGAACGACAGATTATTTGGCAACTGTTTGGAAAGTATTAATGTCATATCTTCTAAGATTAAACGGGCGGTTTATCTCAAGAGTTTCAAGAAAACTTGTTTTCAGGATATGCTCACTTGATCTTTGCCTTTGCTGTGGAAGGTATTTTGGTGCCTCTTGGCCGGCTTTTCTGAGCAACCAGGGGCTGGCTGGTGTTTTGAAGGACTATGATGATTGCAATCTACATTATTCCCCTTGGACGGCCTGACGCTGATGTTCTTCCTCCCGGCAACCAGGGGATTTTTGGTTTCCTGGGTGTTTTTCTGATGATTGCTTATCTGAGTCCTTATTATTTTTGCTTAACATTTTGCTTTCCTTACTTGTATTTTCACAGTTTCATAGGTTTTTGTTTCTTCAGCAGCTAAGCTGATAGCATTTTGTCAATTGCCTCACAATTTTGTGTGAGTTGCAATTGTTTTCCTTACTGTAATTTTTTTTCATCAATGAATCGGGCTGATGCCCCAAATATTCCCAAAAAAAAAATTTTCGCCTGCAGAGGGGTTCTTTTCTCTCCTTCAAATCCCACGAAAACTTTATTATATAGATTGACCTATAATTTAGTCTACAAGTACATTTTTATTGTAGCACAAAATTAAGCTCTACAACATAACACGGCAATGATATTTTGTTGCTTTTTTCTTTAAATCTCTGGCATCCTGAATTGGATTTGTGCGAAAATTGTTTGATAGGAATTTTCACAACTCAATGTTTTTAGGTCATGTGAAATAAATTTATAAAACTATGCCTTTTCATGTTTGAACCATGCAAAAATGATTATTTTATATCAATGATACGTCATCGAAAAATTATCTTGATTGGGCATGAATCTCGATGCAAAATCAAGTTGGAAACTTTCAAAATTAAATTTGGGACCATCCAAACTCCGATTTCAGCAAACTTACAGTCAAACTGAACATCTCGGAAATACGAACCCAGCGAAACCAAATTCGACTCAATCCGAGCCCAAATGAGTCCAAATCAAGGACCCAATGCGTTGTTGGAAGGTAAGAACCACAATTTGAAATATCAAACAATTTTCAAACATTACATGCTTATAGTCGAATAGAGCGGCTCAACAAGACAAATCCAACAAGCCCAAAATTGCAGAATTCCGACATCACTAAGACCTTCAAATGTCTGATGAACGGTCCACGATCAAGAGATTCAATATTGGCCGTTCATCTAACCACTCCCGATTTACCCTTGATCTCTCACCTATTTATGGGTCATGTGTGAAGATCGCTTTGCTCTAGGATCTTCCGGGACGAAGTTGGATCGTCCCGGGACGATCGGTACAGGTTTGGTCGGAATTGTGAAAATTGAGCAGTTCGTCTGGACGAAAATTTGGATCGTTTGGACGAAAATGCTTCAGAGGACCGGTCGTCGGGGACGATAATTAAATCTCGTCTGGACGACACTTGTCCAGAGCCAGATCGTCCCGGGACGAAGTGTGATCGTCCGGGACGATCAGTCTGGATATATATGGAAATGAGATATTTTGAAAAGAGAGAAAAAGCTTAGGAGAGAGAAGAACGAAGGAAAAAGTGGAAAAGTTGATTTTCGGGCGACGCCGAGCCGTTTTCGTCCGACGAGACTGTTCAGGAAAGTGTTGTACGCAAGGTAAGGCACAATCCGCCTTTCTCAATTTTCAGAACCGTCGTGTTTGGCGGTATTATCTGTCCGGAATTGATTTTTGCAAGGGATTTTCGTCCGTATTTTCCGTCTGGTTCAGTTTTTACCGCGAAATTTTCTGTATGTTGTCGACGTGCCGAGTGTGCACATTTTGGTTATTTTCTGGAGATTTTTGTTCGGGTAGATTTGATTTGACGGCGTTTTTCGTCGACTGTATTTTTCTGTGTAGTCTAAAATTGTCTGAGCAGTAGAATTAAAGTCTTGCAATGTTGTTATCTACATTCTGTGCAAATTTGGTATTCTGTGATTTTTCAGGAAAAATTGTGTAAATTCCGTATACAGCCGTTGTGCTGCCCGATTTTTGTCTGATTTCTGAATTCGTCCGGATTTCTTCTGAATTGATATGCTATCTGTATATGCTATTAAAAGGGAGATATAAGGGGCCTGGATCCTAAGAGATTCAGTTAGTGTCTGGGAAATCTGAAATGAGCTCAATCTGAAATATGATATCTGTTCTGTTCCAGATCCGATGAAATTTGTTCTGGTGAACTTCGTCCCGGGACGATCCTGGAGCAAAGCGATCTTCACACATGTCACTCCAAAAATCTTTAAATATAGACCCCTCTCTCTTGAAAAGGGGAGCTCAAAGCAAGAGAGCAAGAGAGAGATCGAAGATTGCTCTTGCCTCCTCGCTCCTCCAAGACCACCGCCGGAGTTTTGTCGGACCAGCGTCTGACGTTGTTGCTCCTCCGAACCATCACTTGAGGCCCTCACCTCCATCGGACCATCACTTGAGGCCCTCACCTCCGCCGGACCACCACTTGAAGCTCAAACTTTTGTCGGACCGCCGCCTGAGGCTCATACTTCCGCTGGACCACCAACTCACGTTGTTGCTCTGCCGGACCACCACTTGAGACTCTTACCTCCGTCGGACAACCACTTGAGTCCCAGACTTCTGCCGAACCACCATTTGAGGCCCAAACTTCCGCCGGACCACCGCCTGACGTCGTTGCTTCGTTGGACCACCACTTGAGGCCCTCACCTCTATCAGACCACCACTTGATGCCTGGACTTCTGCCGGGCCACCACCTTATGTCCGGACTTCTACCGAACCACCACCTGAGGCCTGGACTTTTGTCAAACCATCGCCTGACGTCGTTGCTCTGTAGGACGACCACTTGAGGCCCTCACCTCCACCGGACCACCAATTAAGGCCTAGACTTCTGCCAAACCACCACCTGATGCCCAGACTTTTATCAGACCGGCACCTGAGGCCCGGACTTCTGTTGGGCCATCATCTGATGCCCAGAGTTCTACCAGAATACCGCCCTACTACAACGATCTTTCTGACCCCGATCTCCAGCCAACTACGGTCTTTTGGACCCCTATCTCTTGCCGACTATGGTCCTTCCGACCTCCGTCGCCTACTACAGTCCTTCCGACCTACATCGCCAGACAATAGTTTTTCTGACCTAGGTCTCCTGCATACTCTAGTCCTTCTGACCTACACCGCCGGACAATGGTCTTTCTGACCCTGATCTCCTTCCTGCTACGGTGTCTTTCAGACCTCTATCCTATCAACCATGGTCCTGACAACCAAGCAAACATGTATATGTTGATTATTATAACTCCCATCATGTAATGCGCTCTATATGATGTACATTTGTGACATCAAACTAAGGTCTTCTCCCAAAAAAAGGCTTCATTTGTAATGGACTATAAATACTAGTGGATTCTTTCAAACTTGGTCAGGCCCCGTGATTTTTTCCCCATTTTTCAGGGGTTTCCAAGTAAAAACTCTAGTGTCTCTTATAAACGCTACACCCTCTCTCTTATCTGCTTTTGTGCTAGATCTTCGTACAACGCTAAGATGCTAAACTTTATATTTCTCTACCGCCACGAATACTCCAGGACGCAACAATCAATAATAACATAGAAAAGGGGATTGTAAATTTAGAGTCCGCTTTGTAAGTGTACCACATTAACAATCAATACAATACCAGGCGACAAGACAAATTTTCAAAGCTTCAAACAGCTGAACCAAGATACTAATTGGATAATTATGCACCTATACCATAATCCGCTGGTCTTGGAAAGGCTTCTTTTTTTCTTGGATTATATTATACTCTTTTAAGTATGGAACTATAATATTTTTGGTGGAACATTTGTCTTATTATACCTTAATTTATAGATATTTGCATGTTCGTGAAACTTCTCAACCATGCAAATTCTATGCTCTGATATGATATCAGTTTCCTCTGGTTTACAAATCCAAAGGAGCGGCGGTAAATTTTGCAATTAGGACAATAGGTTGAAAATTTTTAAAGAAAATTCCAGGACTGCATACAAATTCGAAAGTTAGGTTTAATTAACACATTACTGAAGGTTATTCAAGTAAAGCTACTAAACTAGCTTTCATCTTTTAAATTTATTCTAGTTTTGGCTAATTTTGGAAATTCTATGTAAATCTGTTTGGAAGGATCAAAACACCAGGATTTTACCTGTAGCAAAGAACAAAAACAGAAAAAAAAAAAAAACGGGACAGACAAGTTTCTTCACACACAAAAAAAAAACTGTTTTCTTCTTCTGTTCTTCAAAAGGAAATACAATAGTCTTAAATAGAAAATAGGAAGCAGATGGTTTTCGGTACAGTTATTGCTCTATAATAACTGCTGCACACATATAAAACAAAACTAAATAAAAAACTGCTACACAGTTATTTATCTAAACAAACATCTAAACATAGGATTAACACAAAATGACAAAGATTAAACTAACAAAATCTGTGCAAATAAACTAGAAATATAAATATATAATAGAAACTCATTAAAAAATCATTAACATAAAGGAAAATGAACAGATTTGCTCATACTCAGACAACTCAACTCAAACCTCTTCATCATATTACTTAACAGCCATGAAAGTTCATTCTTATTTGACATAGAAATAGGCACTTAATTTCTTTTCTTTCCTTTTCCATCTTCTCTGAAGCCTCTTAATTTCCTCATTACATAATAGAGCAGGCATTGGGGTTATCATCACTGAACAAATTCGTGAACTGGTCCTCTTCCCTAATTGCATGGCTTTGAACTGTGATTGCCTCCAGGTTTCTCACATAGCCAGGAGGAGCCCTCTTATCATAGGTCCCAGCCACATATGGCTGCCTGACCAAGTTATATGGAACGTAAGGCCATATCTCTACCTTCTTCCCAGTGGACTGGACTCTTTTCAGAACCTTGTTTAGTTCAATGTAACCAGTGACTGTAACCTTATTTAGCTTTCTGTTGATTTCCACCGACTGGACTCCTGCAATTAATGATATACATAATTAAGGAAGAAACGCTTTCAGTTCAATTATTAGCATATGTTAGGCTAGTATCAATTGAACACAAATATGGGCTAGCAGCTAGCTCAATAATAGCTCTATTATCATTATAAATGTGCAGAGAGAGAGAGAGAGAGAGAGAGAGAGAGAGAGAAATGCCTTTCATGTAGGAGAGGGCCTTCTTCACTTTGAGTTCACAGCCATCACAGTCCATTCTGACTCTAAGCTCAACAGTCTGAAGCTGCCTCCTATTCTTCTTGTGACTGTGGCCATATCCCAAAAGGCTAGATAGATACCCCATGGTTGCTGAAGATCTCAAGAATGCAATAAGAAGCGCGAAGAGGTTGCCCACTCACAGAAAGGTTTTAACAAGGTAAAGGCAAAGCTTTTGGCTGAAATGAGCGTGCAGAAATGCCAAACTAGAGATTTCTATGAGTTTTTGATGGAGAAGAAAGGGAAGGTAACTGATCTAAGCCAACAAAACAGAAGGTAATAAGAAGGGAAATGTGGGATGGATTATTAGAGAGGGTTATCCTTTGTAAGTTGCACGAAGTTTTCTTTCAGAATTGCTTGCCTCCCACTGTTGTTTCTTTACTCTCTTAACGCAAGTATGCAAACTATGCTAGGCCTTCAGCTCCTTTATATAGGCCTTTTTAAGAAAGCACAAGCCAACCCCCAAAAGCTAAGCGCTCCTCACCCTCAAAGTTTCAACTTTCAATGGTCGGTGAGGGAGAAAAGAGATGCAAAAGTAGAGAGGAAAAACTAATTAAATGCAGAACCTTTTCCTGAAAGATTCTAAGTAATTTTTTTTTTTTTTGGGACATTTAGGCCATTTAAGGTAAACACATACACAAAGATTCGAACTCAAAACTTCTTAGTTGGAAACATAAGCTCTCAACCAACATGCCAAGATAAGCTGTGTAGATTCTAAGTGATTTACTGTTTATTGTTTCGGTTCTGGCATTGGATAAATCTGCGAGTGCTAGAACTGTTCATCTGTGTGCTAGTCGGGCCTATTTCTGTCTGGTTTAAGTTTTTAAATGAAGATAAATATAACAAAATGGGTGAAGGGAAAAGATTTAAGTGAGGTCAAAAAATTAAGTTAAAAGTTTATTTTGGTTTCCCATCGCCATCCAGCATCTTCATTCTATATTTGTTCAGGGCTTAAGCTTAGTCGGGTTTTTGAATTTGAGTTAATTAAATAAAAATACGAAATATGTTTGGCGTACTTTAGGTATTGGACTATTGGAGCACACTTTAATCCCAACAAAACACTAAATTAGGCTTCATTTGGAACGGCCTTTTTACTATTTTTTAAAACTTTTTTTTTAATTAAAAAATTTAATTTTTTGTATTTAAAAATCTCTTCAAGAATTAGTAAAGAAGCCGTCCCAAATAAAGCCTTAGGTTTCATTTGGGACGGCTTTTTTATTGCTTCTGAAAACGGAGTTTTAGTACAAAAATTAAAAAATTTGTACTACAACTCCGTTTTAAAAAGTAATAAAAAAGCCGTCCCAAACGAAGCTTTAATCTCATATCAAGAATCATATTTATTTCACTGCTACTCTCCAAAATTTATTTAGTTGTCACTGCAGGGAACCAAATATTTAGCATTATCTAACTCAAACAAACAATACTGACAAAATGTAGCATGCATAAACATGATCAAAATGCCATTGATGATATGTAGAAATTATCTTTAGGGAATTAGGGGAATTTATATAAAAAGGTTTAGTTCAACTATATATACATTAATATATGGTTTTTTTTTTTAGCGGGTGGTGGGATATTTAAATCAATTAAGATAAATTCATACATATATCATATACGCAAGATTGGAACTCAAATTCTTTTTGTTGGTAGCTAAAACTCACAACCAATAGACCAATATGAACTATATAATGAATTGATCATCGATCATAAAATTTACAATTTACATCATTGACGACCTTCATGCTTTTTGTGCAGAATTTTTCTATATGAACATTTTCGCTCTTTTTTTATGATTTTATTTTATTTTTTCTCACAATGAATGAAATTTTCAATTACTGTAATAATCAAGCGACTATATTTACTGCAAAAAGGATAATTTTTTTTAATATTTAATCAATTTGTATGAGGATTGAATTCTTTTCTTGGAAAAGAAATATGGTATTGTGTGTGCGGGTGGAGAAGCAATGCCTTTGGTTGGAAGAAATCAAATTGCAGTGTGATGGAAACCTGAAGGAAAATACACTGAAAGTGACAGTCTCCAGTCCAGGTCAATTTCAAACAGAAGGCCTGCCACGTGTCATCGTGTGGACTCTTAAGATCCTGTCGCATGCAGTTGGGGTATTACCTGGCTTAAGTTCATTATTAGTACTTGATTGTCCCATTAACTTTGCCTGTAAAGCGAGAAGTTATTTATTATGTGCTGCAGAGGGATGATATCGAGTATCGAGCAGTATTGAGCTCTGGTACAATAAAAGAATGACGTGATGCATTTTTAATTTTCTAGACGTCATTCAGTGTCCGCACTAAATGATTTTTTTAATAGAGTTTACTTTCATGATTCAAATTTATTCATTTTCACAATGATGATTGGGGTTGCTTTAGATTTTTTTTAATATATTTTGTTTTTTAGATTATATTTTTTTTATTTAAACCATTTTTTAACTCTCAAAATAATTTTGAGATAGTATAAGTATTTTCTTAAAAATAAATTAGCATTACTGTCACCAACTGTTGTTAATCTCCACCATTGTGAAGCTAACAATCACCAAATCAATTTATTTGATGTTTAATAATAATAATAATAATAATTATTATTATTATTATTATTAAATCTAATTTATTTCACACAAAAAATATAAATAAAAAAAGTTAATAATATTCCAAGTGGCCACTTTGTAAATTAAATTGACTTTGGACATGCATTTAACTATGGCATTAATTCTTATACTTAAACTTTTTTTCTTTTTTTCGTTCAGAAGTGTACTCTCCCTAAAAATAGCCCCGCATAAGTAGGAACTTTTATTATATCCAGTGAACGTGCGCAGAGAAACATTCGGTTTTAGGCAAAAAAGTGCCTGTACCGAGTTTTTGCGCTAAAAACTCGGTACAGGCAACTTTTTTGCCTAAAACCGAACGTTCCTCTGCGTCTGGATATAATAAAAGTTCCATAAGTAGGGCCTAGGGAGTTTTGTGGTTCAAATTTTATTGAAATCGACATATAAATAAAACTTGGAGAGCAAGGAAGAAGAAGAAATGCATCATTAACGAATATGAAATTGCCTCTTAGATTTAATGGATCAATATTAGCTGCATAATTGGATATGAGATTAAGGCTTAGTTTGAGACATATTTTTTACTGCTTTACATTTTAGAGTATAATCATAATTTATATTTGATCATTGATTTTTTGTTGCTTTCAAAAATTTTGGTACTAGAAAACTACTTTAATTTTTACAATAATATCTTCTCTATAATAATTTATAAAACAGTATGAAAGCTATCCAAAATGAAGCTTATCAAGTGTCACACTTGCTTAATTTCCTAAGCATTTCTACAATTTTTGTAATATTTATAAGTTTAGTTGCACCGTCCACTCTGTGTATATGAAGAAGACTATTTAGGATAATTGCGGTCAAGAAAAATTAAAGTTCAAAATTCATAAAATTTGTACGTAATTTAAATGATAAAAAACTTTAAAATCTCAAGATTTAATTATTTTTAGATTTAATTTATATTTTAAATTTTACATTAAAAACAATCTTATATTCTTATTTAAAGATTTGTCAAAGTATGCAAAAGTCTATAGTCTTCATATGACTTGTTAAGTATTGAACAACAATCAGAACAGGAAAAGTGAAAAGTTAAATAGTCACTGATATTTTGTGCATGCTTATTATACACCTCAGATCGATTTCAATTAACTGCAAATATATTTCTTTTATTATGCTTGTGTATTTCATTGAACTCTAAATCATTAGAAGTGATTGTATTGCAAGAAAGAAGAAGGAGCCCGTAAGAAACTAGGCAGAAATGTTCATTGAAGTTTTTGTATACATATATTTTGGGGTGTATATAGAGGTCAGAGTAGAAGTTGTACAAAAACTTTTGGCTATTTAAATGCTATTTGAAGTTTAGTAAGCTCTGTATTACACAAGGTGGTTTTGCTACAAGCTTAGTGAAGCAGGTAATGAGTGCATAAGTGAGCCGCATTATGCATAAGTTTTTTTTTTGGGACATTTAGGCCATTTAAGGCAAACTCACACACACAACGCATACACAAAAACTCGAACCCACGACCTCCTAGTTGGAAGCATAAGCTCTCAACCAACAAGCCAAGGTGAGCTGTGTCATTTATGCATAAGTTTAAACACTATTTGTCCTGCATATCAGTATTTTTTTAAATTTAAACATGTGAAAGGTATAACTAGATTTGGGAAACGAGGCAAATTGAGTCCTAGGTATATAGAACCTTTGGAAGTTATTAAAAAGATTGATAAGATTGCTTATAGGCTTTCTCTTCCGGCTGACATGTCAGACATTCATAATATTTTTCATGTGACACTGCTAAGGAAATGGGTTATAGATGCCCATAAGAGAATTTTGCATGATGAAATTGATTTATAGAAAAATCTAACTTGAACAAGAAAGAATAATATATCTTGATATTAAACAACTCATAAACCTTCAGATCCCTTATATTAAAATAAAATGGAAATACATGCAAAAAAAAAGGCAACCTAGGACACTACAGGAAAAACGTCAATTTCCGGCATCTATTTTTCGTCGGAAAATGGCCAAAATCTGCTCCGATGGAAATATTTACGCTGGTTCAACGCAAGTCGGAAAAGTGTTATCAGCGTAAAACTTTATGCCGGAAAAATTTCCTGCGCAATTCCGACGAAAAATTCGTTGGAGAAGGTCCCACTAGCAGCAGCCCGTAAGTTGCCGTCTCCCAACTTCTGCTTGCACGCAGCTTGCTCTTTATTCGAATGCAGAAGGCAATTGAACGGTGGGAGAAGGAATAGGGATTAGGTTAGTGCTTTACCAATGCTATTATTATATTCCTCACTTAACTCCACTAATTATAGTTTCAGCCGTATGAAGCACTTGATTAGTGGTTGCAGACTTGCAGCCGTGCATGCTCAAATAAGTGGTGAAGGCTGATTACTATAGTAATGCATTTAGTTAAACATTTAGTAGTTGCATGCATGCCACAATAGCTTTATATATATATATATATATATATCAAAATGTTTGAATTAAATTTAAAATCTAATTTTTAATAAAAAAAAATCTAATTTTTAATATTTTCAAACAACTTTTTTAGGTCTACCTCTACTTTTCTAAGTATAGGCCGAATTTAATACATCACTCTCCTAACAATCCTAACAAGACTATCGAAAGCCTACATTTTATGAAATAATATTAAATAATAAATAAATGAAATATATTTGCTGTTTTAATAAATAAATATCTCAATCTTTATAAAAAAATAAATGAATGATAAAGGAAATTAGTAGTTTATGAACTACATTATGATAATAGAAAAGGACACCTCATCTACAAAGCCACCAATCAATCCCCAATTAAGAGTAATAGAAGCACTTTGTTGATTAAGATAGCCAAATAAAATTCAGATAAAATATAAAAAACAATAATTAAAAGGCATCTTTTGCTAATGGTAAGCTAAAAATGTTTTTTTTTTCAAGTCTTGATCTTCATTTATTAGGATGAATCTAGAGTCGTGATTAAGGTTTCGTTTGGGATTATTTTTTGTCACTATTTTTTGCTACTTTCAAGATATTTTTATACTAAAAATTTATTTTAGAAAACAATAAGAAAGGTATCTCAAATGAAACCTAAATTGCTTCAGACATGGCCTAAGAATTAAAAATTAAATCTAAGAAAAGATTTTAATGTAAAAACAGAAAAATTCATTGGGACATCAATTCACTCAATGATAAAATTAAAACTTCAATTGAGGGGAGGCGAAAAGATTTATCCTAAATTTAGGTATGCAAATCTCTGGTAACATATATAGCTACAAGAAAATATAATTTAAAACATTTCATATTATAATAAAGAGCTGAATGCATTGAGTAGGCCTCCCTAACAAATCTCTTGTAACATTTATTAGTGCATGTTCATGCTTATTACTCTATAATTGATCAAACTGAACTCTTTTTTATTTGTTTTTTATTAATTTTATTTATTATCATATTCATTAATTATTCTACGAGTAAACTGATAAGATCATAAAAAATAATCTGATCTTCTTGTTTATTTAATTTATTAGCTTACTCATTGCACAAGCTTATACAAAGTTCACTATTTCATATATATTTTTCGCGAGTCATATTAGTAAAGAAGTGAAATCGACCGGCAATGCATTTTAGAAAGAGGTCGATATAATTTGATTTAATTTTAAACTGAATATGATTTGAAATAAAAATTAAACTAACAAAAAAAAGTGAAAAAATTGAGATGATGAAAAAGAAAACCTAACAAAAATATTAATTTGTCAAGTTAAAAAGAAAGGTATCTCAAATGAAACCTAAATTGCTTCAGACATGGCCTAAGAATTAAAAATTAAATCTAAGAAAAGATTTTAATGTAAAAACAGAAAAATTCATTGGGACATCAATTCACTCAATGATAAAATTAAAACTTCAATTGAGGGGAGGCGAAAAGATTTATCCTAAATTTAGGTATGCAAATCTCTGGTAACATATATAGCTGCAAGAAAATAAAATTTAAAACATTTCATATTATAATAAAGAGCTGAATGCATTGAGTAGGCCTCCCTAACAAATCTCTTGTAACATTTATTAGTGCATGTTCATGCTTATTACTCTATAATTGATCAAACTGAACTCTTTTTTATTTGTTTTTTATTAATTTTATTTATTATCATATTCATTAATTATTCTACGAGTAAACTGATAAGATCATAAAAAATAATCTGATCTTCTTGTTTATTTAATTTATTAGCTTACTCATTGCACAAGCTTATACAAAGTTCACTATTTCATATATATTTTTCGCGAGTCATATTAGTAAAGAAATGAATATTTTTTAAAATATATTTTTCTGACAAGTTTATTATTACTATTGGGTACCATAAGAAGAATGAAATCGACCGGCAATGCATTTTAGAAAGAGGTCGATATAATTTGATTTATTTTTAAACTGAATATGATTTGAAATAAAAATTAAACTAACAAAAAAAAAAGTGAAAAATTTGAGATGATGAAAAAGAAAACCTAACAAAAATATTAATTTGTCAAGTTAACTAGTAAAAAAATTTCAAATTCTTCATAAATCAATAAAAAAGCTATCTCTACCGAGAAGTTTTATTTGGTTCGGTCGACCGAATGAGAGAAACATTCAGTCGCAGGCAAAAATCCCGCTGTACCGAGGTGTACCTAGTTTTTACCGCAGAATTTTTACCTGCGAACCGAATGTTTCTCTCATTCGGTCGGAGGACGTAATAATTGTTCCTCCACCGAAGCCTTAATCATAAATAATAGGGTTCCCTTTTTCAAACTTTGATGTAGACTAACAAAACAAAAGGCACGCAAAAATGTCTACAGCTCATATCGTTCACCACTCGACAAGGCTTGAAAGGAAACCCAAAAACAAAAAAGAATAAATAATAATTCATATCAAACAATACAAACAATTCCCAGAAGCAATCTTCTTCAAGAAGCATGACAACAGTATTCTCAGCTATGTACAGTAAGACGACATATAAGAATTAAAGACTTATTTAACATTCAACAATAACGATTATTAGGGTTTCCTGTCAAAAAAAAAAAAAAAAAAAAAAAAAAAGGGAAAGCTTGTGAATCACGACAAAGGTGCTTGCTATTTATTTGACCACTGGAACTCGATTTCTATGGTTCGCGGGGGTCCACTCTTGCTCACTGGAAGCAATGTATAATCGCCTGCAACAGATCCCATCATTACCACCCGATCGATTTGTATTGTAACTTTCCCAAAGGAGCTCTGCAATTCAGATCAAATTTCAAGCTCAACTCAAACAATAAAAAGGAAAATTTATATAGATAACTTTATGAGCATTATTACCTTTCCAATTTTGCTCTTGTTCTTGCAGGATATGTGGAGCTTTTGTCCTTTGGGTGGAGTGTCGAAAGCCCAGGCAAAGGCATCATCCCATTCTGGTGTAGGGCCAGTGGAAACAATCTGAAGATCATGTGGACAATTTCTTAAATAAGCTAATCCACCACTATTTCCCCAACTTATAACGATTAATTGAAGTTAAATTCCTTTAAAAAGTTACTTCTCATCAAAGACTAAAATGCCATTTTAATTCATAAAGTAGTAAGAAGTATGGAATTTCCTGAGTATAGCAGGAGACATCAATTAAGTATTTCTTGCACATTTAACGGTTAAAGAATCACAGATAAAGCAAACTAGCGTCATGGTGAATCATCAGTCTGGGCAGCTCCACTATTATTGGCAGAGAATATGCAAAAAATTTTCCATTATTTTTGTTTGTAGAAAAACATAGAAAAATAAATAACAACAGGTTTTAGAGAATCATATAGGTTTCATGACAGGAAAACTATTATGTGGACTGATTATGATGTCTACATCTATCTCCCTCCTGATGACAAGCCTCGACGGAGTTGAGATCTTTTGACGCACGGGTGTATGATGCGGAACATCTTAGTTAGAATAGAGATTAAGTCTAGTATACATTTCATTTCTAGAATGTTCTATTTGCTTTGTAAATAACTAAGGTTAGATGTAAGGAGAAGATGAAGATTATTATATCCTTTTAAACCTTGAGTTTGTGTTTGTTCCCGATTTTGTGTTCCTTCTAGCAAATCCTTTCTTATACCGATCCACTTAGGGGTGCAAACGAGTTGAGTTGAGCTCAAGTCAGGCCTAACTCGAGCTCAACTCACCAGTGAAAACAAGCTCGATGAGCGGCTCAATTCTGCTATTCACAGGCAAACGTCTCCCCTTCTTTCGTTTGCACGCGTTTTTCCCCTTTCATGGTTTGCACGCAACACGCCCTTCCGCTTCCAGTTTGCCACTTCTCCACCCCCCTTGCGTTCGAGGCTCAGAAATCCCTCCCCCCGGTCCGAGCCGCTCAATGAGTAATCGAGTTGAGCCTTCCGTGGTTTGAACTTGAGCAAAATAATCCAACAAACTCAAAATTCTGCTCGAGCTCGACTTGGCTCGCAAGTCGGCATGACTCGTTTACACCCCTAGATCTATTACATCAAATTTGGTTTTGGTTTTACGTTGGGTTTTGATCTAGCGAAAGCTATGATTTCAATAGTTCTGGTGTTCAATTTTGATGTGAGTTCCAGCTATTTCTCTTATCAAATTTCAATATTTGTGTTGACCCCTAAACTAGAAATGCACGAAAGAGAGGCGAAATTGATGCGTGACATGCCACTTAAGGGGTAAAACAACCTCTGATAGCCGAACGGATAGCGACGATGCGATCAGAGCACCGAAATCACCCTAGAGGGAATCCCTCGTAGCCAAATCAAGTGAAGATGGCCAAAATCGGCGACCAACACCCGAAATTGACGTGCGACATTTCTCAAACAACATTCAATAGCGAAACAACATTCACTATTGCGTTCAGAATGTCAACAATACCCAAGATTGACCATAATCTTTCCCAACAAAATTCGTTCGATGAAAAACAGCGAATCCCGAGGCAACAATGTGCAAATCTAGGCGCTGCATAAATTTTGCCTCATTCTCGCCACCTATGTGATAATAAATAATAATATTATTATTTAATAAAATCAATCAGCAAAGATAAAGAAAAATTAATCAAAATCCTAATTACCTCGTATCTGTCGAGGTAATCCTGAAAATTTGGCTGAAATTTCCGAAAATCCGCTGAAATCTCTGCTAGAGCTAGAACACCATCGCTTCCTATAAATCCCGTGCCAGGATTCGATCGTCGTTGCTGCTCTTCGTCTCCCTCTCGTTAAAACGAGAAGGAACGACGACCCTTTTCTTTTCTTTTTCAACACACGAATTGACCTCTCACCCTCGATCAGATCTTGACCCGCAGCCTCCTATCTTGTCTATATCCAAGCCGAACTTCACCCGTACCAATCCATGGCTCTCTCATCTCCAACAAAAACCCCACACCTCAACTAGCCTTCCCTTGCTCGTGCCCCGTTGCCTAACTCCAATCTCCTGCAGCCGGCTACCTTCATCCCAAACAACCGCATATCCCTCCCCTATCTTCTGATCCTTGCGTCACGCGACTGCTAGCCAAACTAACCTCTTCCACAGTGCCATTCACGAGCTCCAACTGTCTGATCTAGCCCCGTATAGCCCCCTCTACACTCCAATCCAACAACCAATCGCCGATCCCCACCCGCTTGCAAGCCTCTTCTGATCTCACCACCTCACCCTCTCTATCGTTCGTCTGCAAGCCACCCGAAGTGCACAATTCGATTCTCCACCAACTGCCGAGCCGACTTCGATAGAACCTGATCCCTGTCGTTACCTCCGATTTGTCAACACCTAGCCTGCACACAAACACCAGATCCCGTCCATACTGGACGAGTCCACTTCTGGCAGCCGCAAATCTCTACCAACAGCAGCTCCCACTCCAATCCAACAGCCAATCGCAGATCCCCACCCACTTGCTTGTTTAAATCACAGTTCATAAGTGCACCCATACATTTAGACATGTTTATATATAGATGCCAAAGAAAAATATTAAAATCATTTCGGTAAGAACTAGGAAGTAGACAAAACAGAAAAAAACAATTTAATATTGCTTATTGGACACAATTGAGCTTCTTAGTATCTGACAATAAATGATAACAAAATATACAAAATCCCATTAATCATGGCAATTAAGAAGCATGGATGCATTATGAACTTGTATTTACTCACTCTACATGAATGGATTCATTAGTTCTCATGCATGAATAAATCAAAATATACATGTGCCAACATATTCATTCATACACGCAGTGATAAAGCTGCCAAATAGTTGGAAATTGAAATTTTTTAAATAAAAGTCGGAAATTGGCTATGCCATGCATAGATGCTAAAAGCTCACATATTAGCGGCCATGATTTCCGCAAGAAATAAAATTTAATTTAAAAAAAGCAAAACAATTTAAATCCTGAGAATTAGACCACTAGGCCTCACTAACAGATCCACAACACATATTAAACCAGCATTATCCACCAAAAGAAAGCGTTCATGGAGAACTATTTGGTTAATTAATTATCTTCCATAGATTAAAAAAAATAAAAAAGATCAAAAATAGAGGAAGTTTACGTGACAGCAAAAAAACATGAAAGCTTGTAGTTTCATCATACCTTGGTTTGTCTTGGTGGACTGCTACCAAGTGTAAGCTTGCAATAAACACTGGGATTTCCAACAGATTGCCTCAAGTTGCTCCCACGCTTGATTGTGACGGTAAGCGTACCAGGTAAGCACTGCAAAAGAAGTTCCGCTTTTTCCTGAAACCGTGGTGGACCTGATTGAATCAAATATTGAAGCATAGGGATAGCCTCTGATGCAGCAACGGACTGAGCTTTGAAAACTTCGATCGGGCAAGCTGACCAAGCCTGTCTAAGCAGAAAAAGTGAATCTAACGCTGCTTCCTGAGTTGCTTCAGAGCCAGTTTTGAGGGACGTAACAAGATGTGGAATGCTGAGGGTCGTAGGCTCAGTAGCTCGTAAGCGAGGGAAATTGCTAAGCAGAGCATTCAGTGCCTTCAAATATTCCTCATTTGCGCCTCCACTAGTCCACAAGTCCTTCTCAATAGCAGCTGCAAAATAGGTAAACCTTGAGCAATGAGAATGACTTATAAAGGCATGATAAATATGCAATAAGCCAATAATACTATCATCGTTTGCATTTGCCTTATCCCAACTATTTGAGATAGGCTTTATAAATCCTTATTCTCCATTTATTTATTTTGCATGAATCCCCATTCTCCATTTGTACTCGGTGTTCATGTTCTGTTAAACCTATTTTGCACATTTTTTTTACAAAACTTCTAGCAATGTTACCTTCGATATACCCTCCTAATTCTTTGAATCTTTTACTTACTGATGTATTTCTACCCTTTGTTGTATACGCCCAAATCACCTAAATTTATTTTCTACAATCTATAATAAATGGTGCTGCAGTTGTTCCTCAAATATAATTGTTTCTTAATCTATCATTTTAATTATAACACAACCATCCAATCTTAGTTTTGCTCAACTTATCCTTCAATGAATTTCCTACTTCCCAACAATACAAATCATACACTAATTTATTTATAGTAACATATGTACTATTTACTTCTATAATATTTCCTCATAATTGAGACTCCTGTTATAGTCCAAATGGAGTACCCTTGGACAGAACTAGCCCAACCTTGACTCTGACCCCTTTGCTATCTCGTGCATGCAAATCACTTAATCAAGCATCTTGAGCCACCAATCAACACAAAAATGGTGTGATTCTCCCTAGCTCTCAGTTGCCTTGGCTCATGATTTAAGAGCCGATGCTAGGGTGTTATTATTAGAATAAATAAGTCTTTGTATTTCCACGTCAGCATATATTAGATGTATCTAGACCGGTTACATCAGACCTGGCATTAGTCTATATATTTGCTTTTACTGTACCGTGTAAACCATCTAAGATCTCCTTGTATTCCTCCTCGGCATCCCATGACTACTCGCACTATGACCGGCACTCTTAAGCCCATTCGCAAACTCAACCTTCTTCACCAACAAACTCCTGCGAATCCTGAACCCACTACCTATACCGAGGCCTCTAAGTATCCGAATTGGAGTCAGGCAATGTGTCAAGAAATATTTGCTCTTCAAAAACAGGGCACTTGGAGTCTTGTTCTACCTCCACCGAATGCCTCAATTCTTAGATGCAAATGGACCTTTAGAACCAAACTTCATGCTGACGGCTCGGTAGCTCGTTACAAAGCACGTCTTGTAGCTCAAGTCAACCATCAAGAGTACGGAATTAATTACACCGAAACGTTTAGTCCTATCGCCAAACTTCCCACCATCAGAATCCTTCTCACCATAGCGCTTCATCACAATTGGTCAGTTCAACAGTTAGACGTTGAAAATGCCTTTCTTCATGGTAATCTTAACGAGACTGTCTACATGCTACAGCCTAAAGGATTCGAAGACCAAACAAAACCGAATCATGTCTGTCGGTTACACAAGGCTATCTACGGACTCAAACAAGCCCCTCGTCAATGGTACAACATGTTCACTGCGTCCCTAACAGCGCTTGGGTTCAACCACAGTCAATCAGATCCATCTCTTCTCATATTCAACAAAGAATCCATACAAATCTATATTCTTGTGTATGTGGACGACATTCTGATTACTGGAAACAACGACACAGAAATATCCAATCTCATTACCCAGCTAAACAAATCCTATGCTCTGAAACATCTCGGTCACGTTAATAGCTTTCTCGGCATCAATATTCGATCTGATCAAAACATGTATTTTCTTTCTCAGGCACATTATGCTAATTCAATTCTTCAACTTGTAGGTCATGCCAACAGCAAGCCCACGGCAAATCCGGCCTGCACAAAGCTGCCTCTCACAATTGCTTCGGATCCTGATCTGTCTGATTCGGCGCTCTTTCGACGGATCATTGGCTCCCTCCAATACCTTACTCTTACTCGTCCCGACATCGCGTTCAGTGTCAATCTCCTGTCGCAACACATGCATAATCCGCTCCCAAATCACATTTATCTTCTTAAGCAACTCCTTCGGTACATTAAAGGAACACAACATTTCGGAATTCCTATAACTAAAGGTAATCTTTCTATTCGTTCTTTCTCCGATGCAGATTGGGCAGGTGATCCTGTCTCCCGGAAGTCCACGTCAGGCTACTGTACATTCATAGGCGACAACATCATCTCCTGGAAAGTTCAAAAGCAAAATACAGTCGCTCGTTCTTCTACCGAAGCGGAATATAGATCGCTAGCTGCACTTACTGCGGACATTATATGGCTTCGTCAAGCTCTTTCTGATTTCGGCATCAAACCCGATCAACCGGCTGAACTTCACTGTGACAATATGTCGGCCATCGCTATCGCGAACAACCCGGTCTTTCACGCTCGTACCAAACACATTGAAATTGATCAAAGATTTGTCTGCGATCATATTCAAAAAAATAATATCAAGATTCTACCGGTTAGCACGATTGATCAGATTGCAGATATTCTCACTAAACCTCTCTCCACAAAGCGATTCCGCCAACTAAGAGACAAACTGACGGTTCTTCTAGATCCCTCTGTTTGTGGGGGTGTATTAGAATAAATAAATCTTTGTATTTCCACGTCAGCATATATTAGATGTATCTAGACCGGTTACATCAGACCTGGCGTTAGTCTATATATTTGCTTTTACTGTACCGTGTAAACCATCTAAGATTCAATACAATTTCTACTTTCAGCTCTTGTCTTTTCCTCTGTTTTTCTCTATGCTGTGCTGTACCAGATTCTACAGTTATACTCCCCCTCAATTCTTTCTCCCTTGAAATCACCAAGAACCCCCAACCTTATCTTCTGCCCATTGCATCCACATATCCCTCTCCTTCTTCCTTTGACTTAAAGCCTCCAACAACGAGCCCTTCCTTCAACGATAAGATAGCCACAAATCTTCTTTGCCTCCATAAGTTTTCTTCTGTTTTTCCTTGTCTTTATAAAACTGGTTTAAGTTTTATTTAGGTATTTAAAATTATTTAAGTATTAAGAAATAAAATAGAGAAACCATAATTTAGCTCGCAAGCGTAAGTCAAATCTTTGAAATAATTAGTTCAGGTCAAATATCGGGTAATCTTAATGATTTAGATTGTATTTTTATTGACTAAAATTTATTTTTTAATGTCTTTGGTTGCGTGCTAATAATTGATTGAAAGTTCATCTTGTGTAGAACATTTTAGCTGAGTTTGACATGGTCTTTTATTTAAATCTTAAATCAATTTGAAGTTCTGTATTACTCAGCTTCGTGATATGTAACTTTTATTTATTAAGGAATAAATATGGTCTTCTTTATTAGAAGTTGATGGACAAAAAAGAAAGAATGAAATAAGTTTTTTACTATGGTTCCATGGAGTAGGAAGTTGGTAGAGAAGCACACAAAATATCAACGAAAACTCACCAGTGATGGATCTAACAGATTCACTGGATGCGTATTCTTGGATAGTATGAGTAGAGAACAGTAGTTTAATAAACATTGCAGCCTGAACAGATGTGTCTGAATGGCCAGAACTGATAAGATCCAATATGACCTGAACACCACCAGCTTCTGCAACAGCTCTTTTATTGGGTCGGCTGTACATTACAAGGTTCTGCAAGGCACAGATGGCCACCACTTTCATTTCTTCCGTTGGCTGCTCTTCAAGAAGATTTACTAGTGCTCGACAGGCTGAAACAGCATCTGTTGTCCGTGCAAGCCCCTCATTCTGGAAAAGATCACCAAGAGCTAGAGCTGCAAGCAACCTTCCCTGCTGGGATTGGGTTTGAGGATCTAGAAGATACATGGATAATGGAGAGATGGAAGACTTCGCAGCTTTCGTTTCTCTTATCTTTGTATTATTTAGCAATGTCTCCAACAATCTTGCAGCCGTTTCCTCACACTGATGATTTTTTAGAAGCTCCAAAAGGGCTTCAACAGCACCGCTTTCAACCATAGCTTCTGCACTGGTTGAATCATCACTTTCCAGAACAAGCAAGGCGTTTAATGCACCAATAACTGTGCTTTCAGTTCCAGATCGAAGCAATTGTACCAATACAGCAACAGGAACTTCCAAGAAATATTCTGAACTATATTGAAGAATGCTGGATAAAACAGAAGCAGCAGATTCCCACAAAGCATAAGGTAAGGGCGGATCAGCCTGCAAAATAACTTTGGACAACTCGTATACACCACCCTCTTTGGCAATTGTATTAGGCCAAGTAAGTGAAATATTAACAAGAGCTTTTATGGCTCTCTGTTGTAAGACATGAACACCTGATCCAAGAATTTGAATTAGAGGACCAACTGCTTGCTCTGTGACTGGATCCTTTTGCAAGTGTTCCTCCAACAGAAGATGAGACAAAAGTTCTGCAGCCAATTGCTGTACAGGTTGAGTTGGTGAATCCAACAAAGATATCACTGGTTCAACAGCTTGATGGGGAGTAAGATTATAATCCACTCGACATTGAGGTTGCTCTAAAATGTTTACAAGAACTTGTAACACGCTATGCTGTCCATCAGGACCAATCTCTGGCCTTACTAACAGTGAGAAAAAGGGCACCAAAACTTTGGCTGCTGAGGGACCCTTCGCAATGTCAGCATTGTTAGTAAGAATACGAAGCAATTCTGCAAATGCGGCACAGAGAAAATCAGGAGCTTCTTCCAGGATGTTAAGCATGCTTTCAATAACTCCAGCTTTGACCATTTCCATTTTACAAGATGGCCTGTCTCTTCCTAACTTTACCAAAGCCCTAGACACTGCCTCATGAAGCATGTAATTTCGACCAAACAGAAGACTGATCAGAGGAACAACAGCTCCATGGGCAGCAATTACTTCTGCCAGTTGCTCATCATCCAAAAGCTTTTCCAAAGCACGAACTGCTGAATGCTGAGCGGGGCTGAACTCCATAACTAGGAGCGCCACCAAAGGCTCTATGCAGCGTGCAGCAGCCATAGTGGACCGAACCCTTGTATTTCCAAATAGAACACCACATAGCTCAGCAGCATTTCCCTTCAGCTCCACAGAACAGTTGGAAGAAAGAATTCTGCAGAGAACATCCACAGCATTCATCTCCGCATCCCCAACAGCCAGGGCTCTAGATGGATTGTCACCTAGCAGTCGAACAAGCGCAGCAATGGAAGCATGTTGCTCTCGTTCTGAGCCTGTATTAAGTATCTCAACTAGTGGTTGAACAGTTTGTCAGGCGGATTCACCATTTTTAATATGGTATGAGGAAAACAAGTTCTCCAATGCTTTTGCAGCACTGTATCTGGAATTTCTTCCACCAAGCCGTAAGACTGCCACTAGTTGATTGACAGCACCAAACGCAGATTCATGCCGTCTTATCTCAGCACTGTTGAATAGCATCCCCAGTAATTCTGTTGCAGCCTCTTCTGTAGCATCTTGCGGCCCAAGAGAAAGGTACTTTGTAAGTGCCTCAAGTGCCCCTGCTTCTACCATTACAAGCTTATTTGGAGAGCAATCTTCAGCAAGTTGATTCAGGAGGCCCAATGAAAGAAAAGGTGCACCAGGACGATCTGGCATTGGTTTGAGGAGATCAACAAGTGCAGGAATGGCTTTTCTAGAAGTAGCACCAACCCTAATATCATCAACTCTGAACAGTTTCTCTAGGGAAATTTGTTCTGGATTTCGTACCAAGTGAAACTCATCTGACAATTCAAGGAAGTCAGATATATCTGTATCAGCACAACCAAGCAATGAGATGAGCCCCCCAGCAGCGCCAGAATTTGCAACAGCCAACAAAGTACCTCTGCTACCATTACAAACCAAACTTGTCAGGGCTTGCGCAGCAAAATATCTGTTTGATAATTCCTCTGATTTCAATAAATTTGCAAGAACTGGAATGCAATGCATTGCGGTATTCGAGCGGATGATATCCCGGTCTTGAAAGAGCAGAGCAAGCAGTAAAGCACAGACCCATGCAATATTATCTTCTTTTGAATCACTCTGTAGGAAAAAGTTCAGAGAAGTCAGAAGAAACCTTGACGCTAAGGAAATCACTAAAATGAACATAACATAATAATGGTTCAATTAAAAATATTATGAAAATTCAGGAGGTACACTCCAAAAAAAAATGCCAATTTCCCTATTTCAAACAGCAACTAAATTAATGTTCAAAGTGGCAGAATGATTAGTAACTACACTTATTGGGCGGCAAGTACCTGTGAAGCTAAATAATACTGTGAAATCTTCTCCGTAAGAAACTCAAGTGCTCCAAACTCCATGATAAATGCCTTGCTTTTCTTATCATGACAAGCTAGCAAGCAGAGTAGCCAAATGGAAACTATATTACCATAAATTATGGCAATGCCAGAACTACTTTCGGCATTTATATGCTCTCCTATAGGATGCCTGTGGATGCATATATCTATGTCTCCATGATCAGAAAATAAACTCGTCATTTGGAGCATACCCACAAGTGCACGGATCAAGCTCATGCATAAACTAGAGTCATTCAGAGATTCTACCACTTCCTGGCAGTTATCTTTTGCAGCACAGATAAGTAGAGCAGCTCCTCCTACTTTAACTTTAAGGTGACTGGAGCTAATCACTCGTCTAGCAATTGATGCCACACATCCATGCTTTTTTGACACTACAGAACCCAAAATACCAGGCTGATCACGGCATAACCTAGACAAAACTTCAATAGATTTATCTTGTAGTGTGGGCGCTCCATCAGCTGCACATAAAACCAAAGGGATGAAAGTGTGAGGATATTCAGCAAGAGCAGCCAATGGAGGTTTTTCAAGGCCAGAAGCTTTATTTGCCCCAGAAAGCAAAGCCAGTGCATGAAGAACCTCTGATGCAGCAGCAGAATCAATATTGGAAAATTCCAGAAGAGCAGCAAGAGCTAGAACTGTCTCACATCTGTTTATGCTATCAAACAATGCATGATCCGCAGTGGGACACTGTAGGAGACGGGCAACAGCAGCAGCAGCATGAGTTCTTCCATCAATAGTGCCATCTCTTAGCACTCGAGTGACAGGGAAGATAATTTTTTCGGGAGTTGCCTGAGCTGAAATTTCATCATCCAAAAGAAGATTAGCTAAAGCACAAGTTGCTTGTTCAGCCACTTCCAGAATGGAGGAGCTAGAAAGAACAACCAATTGAGGAAATGCATCACTGGCTATGGAAGCAACTTCCTTGTTTTGCTTGATTGAGAGGAAAATGGCAGCAAGACAACGACAGGCCTCAACCACGATTTTTTCACTTTCCGCATTGAGCAGCTTCATGATCGACAATAGTGCATTGACAGAGATATGACTTTCTCTCAAGTCTTTACGAAAATAAAATAGTTCAGCTAGAACAGATGCTGATTTAGCTTGAGTTTCCTCCTTTGCAGAACACAAGATTTTTATCATTGTTTGTATAGCATCATTTGCTGCACTGCCATCATGCAGTATATCACTAAATGGCGACACAGAAAGCAAACTTCTCAGAGCATCCAGAACATGTACTTTTGATTCAGGTTGTTCGCTTATTAGTAAGGTGGAGAGCTGGCTGATAGTCCCTGTGTCTGACATATGGATGAGATGATTTAATGTCCTTGCAGCAATTTCTTTTCCATTTTCACTTCCATTTTTCAGCAACCATAATAAAGCAGGAACAGCATCAGCGCTTTGCACGCATGCTCTAATATCCTCACTGTGATTACAGAGGTTCCCAAGGATCTTAGCAGAATCCTCCTTGGCCTTTGCAGAACCTGTCTCAAGAATCTGAACAAGAGGAGGTATGCCTCCAGCAGCAGTTATGGCCCATTTGCTTTCATTATTTTCATCAGATAAAAGGCAAAGCAAAGAAACTGCACACTCCTGTTGTTGCTCAGAAGAAAGGCCAAGTAGGGAAATTAAAAGCTGAACACCCTGGCGACCTTGCAATGCCTGCCACAAGCTGCTTTCTTTGCTGCAGAATGTGAGGAGAGACTTCAGAAGCTCAAGCTGTACCTCACCTGTTGCCATGGTAACCAAACCAACTAACAAGTGCTTTGCATCAGCATTGTTCAGCCCCCTAGAGAGTATAGCATTCCCATACAAGCTAGCCAAGGCTTCTATAGTGCGTTCCTGTACGAGGAATGGCACTGTTGGCTTGAATTGCTTAACCAATATTTTCTCTATAGTAAAAGGATCTGATGCTCTGACAGATTCAGCATTTGAATCATAAATCATCAAGGCTGAAGCTAATGCCCCTAGTGTGTCAGCAATCTGTGCAGGCGAAGAGCATGACTCTAGGCTTTCACCAAGGCTGGAAATGACAAATGACAAGCCACCAGAAATATTTGCCAGGGCGCACATTGCATTTTCCTGCAACGCTTGAGCTGCTTCTCCTTGCATAAATTCTTTTGATGGAGCTATTGTAGCATTTATAAGAGCTGGAATACCATTGGAATTAGCTATCTCACGCCTAGCTTCCTTACACTGTGCAGACAAAGATTTTAGAGCGCCTGCAGCCTCAGCTCTAACTGATGCTTCGTTACCTTGTCCTAGCAATTTGAGGAGTAGCTTGATAGTATCTGATGCAATGACCCTGGAACAAACAGACGTATCTTCCATCATCATACATCCAAGAAGATAGCAAACATTAGCTATGCTACTTGGTTGTCCATTTGCAAGAAGCTTAATCAGTATATCCACCCCACCAGACTCTGTTGTTGCTAACCAGAAACCCTCTTTACTTTTTGATAAGTTCTTCAATGCTCCAGTGAGTAAAGTATCGACCACACTTCCATTATTGAGACCAATTTTCAGTTGCTCCCACAAAACAGGGACAACTCCCTCCGTTGAGAAGATCTTTGAACCTACATGATCCCTCCTTGAACCACCTTGAGAAACAGCATAAATAGTTTTTGCAGCTGCCATTTGTCCTTCGACTAAGTTGGACTTGAGAAGAGCGAGAAGTGGTGGTATGCAACCACCTAGAAGTACTTTCATTCTTAATTCCTCTTCAGCACATAAAGATCCTAAAACACTTGCAGCCAACATCTTTACCCCAAGAGACCCAGACCTGAGAAGAGAAACAAGTATTGGAACTGCTTGTGAATGAGATCCAACAGCTCCAAATGCCTTTTCACGTGTTTGAATAAGTTCTAGCAACTGCTTCAGAGAGTTCTCTTTTTCTGATGTTGTTGAAGAATTTTGCCGTAATTTCTCAATGCATTGTGCAACACTTGACAAAGTACCATCCGTATCTTCCATGTTCCCCCGATCCCTGCATGTATGCTAGATTCAGAGAGCCAATAACTTACAAATATCACAAGCGTCATCAAAAACCAAACTTTGATTTCACTCAGATTAGAAGCAAGATATTGAATGCAAACCACTCTTCAACATTTTGTCAAGACATTAACACAATTAGCATTTTGTCCACCTTAAGATCATTATTTGTAGAGAAAGGAAACTACTTGGATTAAAGTTCAGTGGAAAATGTGAAAAAGTGCACAGCTGCTATAGGAGTAAAGCTAATCAAAGCCCGTTTTGTCATCATCATTAGCCTTATCCAAGTATTTGGGGTCGCTAGGCCACCTATGAATCTTCATTCTCCATTCATTCCTATAGAGTGTTGCTTGAGGTAGGCGCAAAGTACAGTATGAAATCACAAAGACTCAAAATCCAAGACAAGCACACAATGAGAGAGGAGAGAGGGTGAAAAAAAATATCCGAAACCTAACCTAGATGGGGGTAATAGGAGCCCATGATAAACCATAGGAGGAAGCCATATTTAGAAAGGTGAGAAAAGAGCAATCATCATTTCCTTCACTATTCACAGCATGGCTTCCTAATACTAACAATAAGCCCTTTACATAGATAAGGACATATACTCATAAAGACTAAAAAAGATATAAGTAAATTATCTAAAGACTCACGGGTCAAAATACATTAAACAAAAGCATGAAATAAAATAAACAGGCTTTACTACTAATAAATGTTGCTATGATCAAACTATAGAGCAATCAACATGTAATGATATTGCATTGATTCCACGACCCATAAAATATTCTTTTTTTATGAGTTTATGGAGGGTACCAAGGTTTTGAGTAGGTAGGAACGGCTCAAATAGAGCGCTAAAAACTGCAAGAAGAAATTTAATAACCATAAAGAAATCTAGAGACTTAACGTTGGTTGATGGTGCTCTAACAAATGTTTCAAAGAACTCAAAAAAGAAAGATTGCCATATATAATCTAGGATGATGTACTAAAAAGAAATAGGTGTTGACCTGTAAGCAATGAACCGGACCCAGTCTACAAACCCGACCGACTCCACCTCAACCCACGGTACTCAATAGCTCATTCCACCTCAGCCACGATCAAACCCACACAAAGGAACCACCCACGACCTCACAAACCGTCGCTCTTCTCACGAAACTAAATAGAATCCTCTCATTCGGCTCTCGGGGGCACAGATAGAAACTCTCAAAACCAAAGAGAACGAAGATTCGGAACTCACCTCTCGGCTTTCGTCAAACTTCGGACCAGACGCCGAACTCCGTCCCTCTACACTCGCCCGTCGACCTCCAACCCCCAGCTCCGACGTCGACCTGGCCAGAGTCGACTCTAGCTGCCAGACCCGCCGGATGTTCTTCCATCTTTGACCTCAAGCAAACTGCCAAGGCCTACCCGTCTTGCCCTAGCCTTGCTGAACCAAGACCATCCTCCTTGCACCACGTTGCCTTCCTGCCGACTGTCTTATATTATAAAAAAAAAGAGAAATGGGATCATCAATTAAGCATCGCAATCGACAATCACCGGTAATCGGCAATCAACTAATATGCAACTAATCGTCGGCAATTGGAGCTTCAGAACACGAAATTTCAGGGCACGTCAACGCCCCGAAGCCCTCGGCCGTCAATTCGCTCCGGCCGAGTTGAGCCACTCCTTACCTCCCGACGCCGGGGAGGGGATGCCGGGAGGATGCCGAAATTTTCAGTGAACAATAAGGGACTTGGACAAAAAAAAAAGGAAATTGATTTAATCGTAATTCAAACGTAAAATCAATTTTAAATTAAAATTTGATCAAATAATGTTAGACTTAAACTCAAACTGAAACTCGAACCAGACTTTCATAATACACACTTATATATTATTGAAATTTGTCATTCATATGTCTAAACAAATATTTAAATTCAAAAGATATTGAATTGAATGACATAACTTAATAACTCCTAAAAATATCAAAAGCTAGCACGATCCATAACTCAGAGTGACTCAAATGCATAATGAAGGCTTAAAATACATGAAAATTATTGAATAGCACCTCACTATGCTGAAGATCACTCATTATTTATAAATCTCAAATAAAACATAGTGTGATCTAATTACATAAGATCTAGAGTCCGACATAATGATGAATATTATGGATACAATGCTCCACATCAAAACTTTCTTTCTTTAGGTAATTTTGTTGTGACAAAATGAGTATCTTGGCTCTCACAAAGCATTTTCATGATAATTATGATAGCACATCCAAAAATCATTTTTTGGAATTTTTAAATGTACATGAGATCTCAAAAGGATCGTGGTAATCTAGAAATCTTTGATTAATGCCACCGGATCCGCAACATGTGTACAAGCGGACATAAAGCATTCGTAAACCCTTAAATGAAATCTCGGGCCATTGTTAAATGAAATCACTTGATTAAATAGATCATATTTAAATATTTTAAAATGCCCCCCTTCTGTATTAAATATGATCCCTTGAACTAAATATATCCCTGCATGTGCTCCGGTCAATGTGTTAAAAGTACAAACACCAATATCCGAGAATGTTGCGCAGGGTCAAATGCTACCACCCACATGTGCTCCAATCGTCACATTTAAGTTCTAAATCCAATGATTTGAGAATGCTGCGCGGGTTTAATATTCAAGTTTCATCCTCGTCCTTGAAAGGACTGGAGTCGACATGACTTAAAGTATAAAATGCCTCCCAAATTCCTACAAAAATAAAAGCGATCTTAATGTCACCCTGATGATGGCCGCGTTGACAAAAAAATCTCAACCGGAAGGTTCAAATCTATAATCAAACAAAAGCTCAAATTCTTGAAATAAAATTTATCAACTGAAAACTTAAAACTAAAAATCATCTACCTCCAGCAACCGTTTGTCGAGGGTGATAAATTTAAAATTAACCTCAGCTCACAAAGAGCGAATGCTTATTGGGTGCATCACTTTGATTCATCCTCAAACACTCTCTTGCCAACAGGGACGTGGCACGTGCCCTCTAATCAGATGGTTTTGCCGCAAAATTGCACCATTATATTACGATCACAGCCAAAGCCCGTATGTTCCTTAACGGCGTCAAACCCTTGAGTTATGAATCATAGGATATATTCGATAGGCATAAAGCCCTCTGTTAGCTAAGGTGGATTCACATATATCCCTTTAGACAAACATCAACCCAGGTCTACAAGGTATTCTTGGACGAAGAAACCTATGGCTGCCGAAAAGGTGCCTTCTATCAGGTTGGGTCAACTACCTCCTCTGACTAAGTAGACCAGGGATCATGACAACCCAGGATGACGGAACTATGAGATCTTGATCGGGCTCGTCTTCTCTCCCCCCACCACCAGTTTTAAGTTTATGGTGATAAATTTTAAATTCCAAACTTCAAAATTTAAATCCAAGATTCAAACCCTAAAACTATTGCTATTATACGATGGATTTATAACCTATTTGACCTCCTTAACGACTAGCCTTAATCGAAAGTTCTCTCCTATTATCGTGAGGGGTAATTATCTACAGGGGCTTGCGCCTATAAGAAACTAGAACTCAGATAAAAAAAGTCCTCACAAAATGAGGGCGAAATCTCTGGGTAGTGTCTTATCTAAAACCCAATCTGCCTTCTGAAAATTCCCCCGGAACCTAATCTTGTTAAAACTCTCTGACGTGGAGAGGCCAGGATCATCACATAAAATGGAATTTTTCGGAGCCTACAATAGGAAAAACCAAAAACAAAAGACAACATAAATACAGAGACATCAACATTTATGTGATTTAGTTTCAACTAAGCCCGCATCCGTAAGAGAGAAAAGATGATAAAATCCACTGTGAATAGAAAATCTATAATATGGCGCACAAATCAAGAGCACTCACAAGAATTTTCTCAATTCTTAAATAAATTAACACAAAAAAGAAAAAAACATTAAAACTTCAAAATCTCTAACAAATATGTTATCTATGTTATATATATATATTCCTTACATGCCCCTTTAAGGCGCCAATCCACCAAGAAATCCTAAAATTGAAGGAATATAAATAACAAGAGAAAAAATAATGTCTCAAACATCACTTGGAGCCTATTCATTCAATCATTCAGAAAGCAGGACAGCTGGCAGCATAAATATTTCAATTCTGTACAACCAAGACAATAAAAAAAAGACTTCTCAAGAAACGTCAAGCTCGCAATCCACAAAACTCACTCATTTGCATGAATCCCAAAGCTACAATTTCAATTGTTCAATTTGTTTATGATCAAATAAGTAATAAATAAATCCAATGCAATCAAACTCAAATCTAGTGCAGTGATGTAACACAATTGAGACAAAAATTAACAATTCTCCCTCTTAACTCAATAGTATTAAAAATGGATCTCCTTAGCAAATTCTCTGCAAATCAAGCGCTCTAAGCTCTCAAAGCCTTGGCGAATGCAACACCATGAAATCTCAGCAAGCCAATATGACACAAACCGAATACATTGAGATACCTCTGCAGCATAAATTTTGCATGCCAAAAGAATTTGTTAAAGCTAAATCTGGACACACTACTGAATTCATACCTCTAAAGTGGCCACCTCATCACCCTCAATATTGTAGTGGTCTATGTTGTACCGATACACCTATTTATGAAGGCGTGATAAATCTAATATACCGATACATGGATACGCCTCCGATATGGCACCGATACGTGCCGAATACGGCTTTGTTGTATCCAATTAAAATACTATTTAATTTCAAAAGGACACGCGTATCCGATACATGTTTCCGTTGAAAAACAAAAAAAAAGACGCGTCGTATTTACTTCCGTGGTTGCGAGTGATGTTCTCTCATTTTCGATCTGGATTTGAGTCTCTTGATGATATTGAAATATTAAAAAATACTAATCTTTCACTCGATGAGCCTGAATTAGAAGCTATAATATTTATTGAAGATGATATAGAAGTTCAAAGACAAACCATTGAAGAAACTGATCATATCATTCCTTCTATTGAATAGTTGA